TTAGAGTTTACCTGCTATGTATTCCTGCTTTGGAAAAAACAGAAATGAGAATTTTTATCTTTCTTTAAGACAATTTGAAGAAGTTTTATTATTTCATTGAAGCAAATTTTTATAATTTATCATCATCTTCAGTAGGATTTGACAATGATAAACGATATATACTATTGACTTTTATATGCATTTCTTTTTAATCATTATTTCACCTTAAGTTTTCTTGTAAAAAGAGTTTTGGACACAATGTTAATACTCATGGTGAATAACACATTTACCTATTGAGAAGTAGGAAAGGAAAGATTGAGATGCAAGGTAAAGAGATATTATTAATAGGCCAAAGTGATTTTGAAACATAAAACAAGCAAACGATGAAACCTAAAGAAGAAGTTTTATGACAAGTAGGTATATCCCAAGTACCATTTTAAAAGGTACATTAAATTTTCTACAGTTCTGTATAAATCAAATGTCTGTGTTTACACCTTTATTGAAGCTTTCTATTTTATTAAGAGCAAATAAAAGATATCAATGACCTGCAGAAAAATATTGGATTCGTGAGGATGGAAAAACCTAAGAGTATTTTTAATTGTATCATATTAATTTGGGATACTGAATTATGCATTTTTTTTGCCTCTCTGAATCTCTCTGCACTTTCTTTTGCATGTGGTATTAAATGCCAATAGGCACTTCACTGTCATCCTCTGGAATTTTTGCCTGCAGGAATTTGAGGAAGATACAAAAGATAATGAAGAATGGGAATTGTCGTTGCTGACCTTAATTCCAAAATATTTCTGTCCCGTTACTATAAGCCTCCAGGATTTGGACCATGGGCCAATTAGATGCCTCAGGTTATAACTACAGCCCCGATCAACAACCTTGAAAATTTCGGCAGGCCTTGTTCAAAAAGGGGAGCAAGTGAGAGATAATGGATGCTCAAACATAGTTCTCTCTGTTACTGGAAAATTAACTCAATGTGTATGCTGTGCCAATATGGAGTTGTTGGAAAAATCTTTGTCAATTAAGATAGCAGTATATTTCCCAGCTAGATTCCATTTTTGTTTTAATTCACCAATAGTCAATAAGGAATAGTTAGCAGCACATTTTTCATGATAAGAAAAAAATTTATACAGAAGAAAATAGGAAAAAAAATTGTCTTTGAAAATGACATTGCAACCAAGAGATAATGGCCATAACCAGGCTTCCTCTTGCCCCCGTTTCCTTTAATTTCTGTTTTACTCTAAAAGAAGACATAACATCAATATTTCTACAAAATAGAACTCTATCACAGAAATATAAGATTTAATTAAAAATTTTATGTTATATGAATTAGGAAAATCCAGACCCATCATTTTTCATTGTTAAAGTTTTTCTCAACAGAAATGTGGCTAATACAATTACCTAATGGACTGATACGTGTAAAATGATTAGCACAGTGCCTTGCATATATTTAGGACCCAATAAAAGTTAGCGGTCACGGGGGCCAGCCTAGTGGTGTAGTGTCTGGGTTCTCTCGTGCTCTGCTTTAGCGCCTGGGGTTCGCAAATTCAGATCCTAGGTGCAGACCTACGCACTGCCCATCAAACCATGCTAAGGCAGCATCCCACATACAAAAGAGAGGAGGATTAGCACAGATGTTAGCTCAGTGACAATCTTCCTCAAGCAAAACAGAGAAAGACTGGCAACAGATGTTAGCTCAGGGCCAATCTTCCTTACCAAAAAAAAAAAGTTAGCAGTCGTTGTTATCTTTTCATGGTTGTTCTAATCATTATTATTTAGTGTCCACTGTGAATCTAGAGAAGAAGGGAACTGTGTATTGAAAAGGATGCATTTGGATTTTCCATTTGTGGTTTGTACATTGGTTCCTTACTAGGTTGGCTGGAAATAAAAATAATGCTCATTAAGTCCATATTAAGTCCTATGTAAAATTGTGATGTGCATGACATTTTTACTTTTGAAATTTTTATGTCCAGTGCCTCTGATTGGGAAATTTTAACAGATTCATCTACCCAAGGTCAAGGTCCATGCTTTGGCTCTTTCAACTCTCTTTCCCATTTCTCAATACCAGTTCCTTATTCTGCTCTTTTAGTGTTTTGTTCTCTGTTGTACAAGGAATCTGGAAGATCTCTGAGCAATTTATTGGTGCTTGAATATTAAAAACTGATGATAGGTTAAGATAAATACTTTTTGATGTTACAATTTGTAGCTCTAACAAAGGAATTAACTTGATCAAAATAAAGAATGTTCAATTATCAATTAGAATTAAAGCCCAAGGATACCTTTCTACCACCTTGAAGTCCTTGTTAACCCCCTCATCATTGCTGCTAGGGTTCCTCCAAATTTCTCTCTGCGTCTTTGGTAACTGCGCTTTAATACCCTTCTTCAGCCAGCCCCACGCCTTGAAACTGACATAGGTCTCTTAAGCCCACCTTTTTAGCGAGTGCTGCTGATCATAAACTTACCCTTCTTTCTAGACTGACTACTCTGTTGCCCCATTCTCTCAGATGTTTCAAAGGGATGAATCACATGAACTTATTTGAGGTGGAGTGTTTGGATTCACGGCAGCATTGTGTGGTCCTCCTTATGCAAAACTATTTTTATAGCTTTCTTTGCATCCCCTGAAACTATGCTGGGAAGGGCAGAGTGGGTAATTGGGAAAGGCTAGTTTTTTGCCATGCTCAAATCATGAGTGTGAAGTTCTGCTTCCTTTTCTGTTTTGTTTTGTTTTGTCTTGTTTTCCAATCTTTCTCCAAGCAGTAGGTAGAGATTCATGTGCTCTTTCCTGGATCCCCTCGTCCCATAGAAAGAGGACCATGGCCTACAGAAAGAGGATTTTAATGATGTGATGGGAAGATTTTAGGAAGTACTTTAAGAACAATATCTTGATGTAGCTTCTGTTGAAGAGATGTCTTCAGGCGATTGAAGAGGAAAAATACCTGCCAGTATGGCAGAAAGGAGAATACTTGTACTGTAAGATTATGAATAGCAGTGTGAAACAGAGTACTTCAAGCTATTTTCCACTATATTACCCTTTGAGGAGGGTTTGGACTGAATTCTTAATCTCCATTTCTCCAGCACCTATCACAATGTCTGGCCCATCCTATGTACTCAATAATTTGAGTTAGCTGTAGAATGAAGAGTAGTTACCTAGTAGGTTTCCACAGCAGAACTAGAGAAAAAATGATTAGAGAAAGGAGGAGAATAATCTATTAAAAGAATGATTTTAGTGCTTGAAGAGAAAGGAAGAAAAATAAGGCAGACAGTCAAGCAAGGGACTAAAAGGTACAATATAGATCTAATATTATTTCCATCAAAAGCTTTTTGCAATAAAAATATTTTATAATTGTCTTAAGCAAATGTGCTTTTCAAAAGTAATAATTCATTAAAAATAAAAAGTTTTACCATTTTGAGAATGTTTTACTACCCCAAACACAACCAGCTCAGGTAGACACAAACTCTTATTTTTTAAAAAAATACTGTGTGCTTACTCAATTGTGTTGAAAATTCTGATGAAGTTTACACAGCACAGAGCAAGAGTCATTCTTGTACCCGTGAGTTAATAAAACAAACACCGCAATAACACTCTAAGGAAGAGGAGATGCCTTGTTCCTCTCTGAGGAGTCATCTATTTAATAAAAGAACCCCTTTTTATTCTTTTGGAGCAATGCTGCTGGCAGACATTGATATAACTCCCTGGAAGCTATTTCCAAGTCAACATTGCAACTAAGTTGAAGGAATAGGGAGGTGTGTGGAATCTTTTTTCTTTTTCTTTTTTTTTTTTGGTGAAGAAGATTGGCTCTAAGCTAACATCTGTTGCCAATCTTCCTCTTTTTGCTTGAGGAAGATTGTCATTGAGCTGACATCTACGCCAATCTTCTTCTATTTTATGTGGGATGCCGCCACAGTGTAGCTTGATGAGCAGTGCTAGGTCCATGCTCTGGATCCAAACCTGCAAACCCCAGGCCGCCAAAGCAGAGGGCGGAAACTTAACCACTATGCCACTGGGCTGACTCCCTGGAATCTTTTTGAGGCAGGATTTGCATCTTAATAAATCAAGAACTGTAAAGGAAAATAACTAACAACAACAAGAAAATGGAGACTAGCCACCAAGAGGATCACTAGTCATCACCAGTTAAAATCACTTCTGTACTAAATGATTTAGTCTGTCTTTTCCCTTCTAATAATCTCTTAACATTTTCTTGCTTTTTGTCCCCTATTCAAGAGAAACCATCGTATGTGCACATTTTCAAAGAAATGAATAAAAATCCATGTATATGCCAATGAATAAATATATATAGATATAAACATACACTTATATAGACACATACATATAGCTAGACAAATAAATCACCCTGTCTATTTCCCTAGATAGAAAAGAGTCTTTGACGAAGAATCTAATTGAGTTCTGACCAATGTTATTACCTCAGAGCTTCCCTTTGCTTAACCCAAGTAGTGGTGGTCAAGAAGTATATAAGGTACAGTCACCAGCCTCACTTCTGTCTGATCCACACTCTCCAAGAGGCAAGTGGCATGTAAGGTACAGACTAATAAACTGTGGGTCACACAGCACAGAGAGAATCACATATAAAAAAGCATTTGAAAGAATCACATGTATTTGAAAGAATCACATATAAAAACAACTGATTTTAACTCTACTACCTTTTTTTCTAATGACAAGCAAAACCTGGTAATATACTTAAATTATGATAGTTAGTAGCTGTGGAGTTGCAGTTGCCAAGATATTTCCAAAAATGACCATTTAAAGCAGTGGCACTTTTATCTTTAAATGATATGAACTTTTCTATTGAAGTCTCTGCCTAAATTGCCACTGCTGGCAGAAAGCTGCTGCCTTCACTGAGTTAGACTAGATTTAAAGGTGACTCACAATCAATGGGTTCTTTGAGTTTGTGCATGTTACAGGATTCTCCCAAATGTGTATTATGAACGTGGCACATCCCAGATTTTGGAATGGAAGGAAGCCTAAGAAAAAAGGGCAACAGTCAGCCATGTCGTCCTGTTCAAGCATGCATGTGTTTTATTTAAGTATTCTCCAAAGGTCTATTTTTTCCAGCATAATGCAGATATTATGCTATCCTTTGAAATAAGATATATGAATTTCAAACAAAATTGTCAAAAACAATGACCTTGGTTACTCCATATGGTACACAGAAATAATTACATTTCACTTACGATACGGATGCACTTAACACAGTCATCAATAGTCATTCACCACCAACACAGTATATTTTTAAATCACCTAAAACACCAAAAAGTTTTTTTTTTCTTTTCCAAAAGTCTAAAGAAATTAAGAGTTTTGGATAAATGATAAGTTGAAAAGGATGTGGAATTGTCAACCGAAATAATCTAACTGCGTTTTTTAAAATGTAATATTAAGAACATGAAAATAGAACTTCTTGTTGGGAATCAAAAGACCTAAGTATTCCTGATTGTGGTTTCCTTAGTCTACTTTATAAAAAGTTTTTCAACAAATGCCATCAAAGAAGTTTCACTATATATTTGCTCTAGAAGCGTAAAGTGACATGAGGCAGGTGTTAATATAATTAACATTCACGATCCAGGAAGATTAGTAGTTTGTTAAAAGATATACTAGGAATAAAGCCAGTTCTTCCCAAGAGATAGTAGTTTATCTTACTTTCACTCAGCAAATGTTTATTAAGATCTATACTGTGTGCACAGCATTGTTCCAGAAGCTATTCTAGAAATGGGAAGCAAGAATTTCCGGCTTTATTTGAAAATGGTTGGATTAATTTTTTTATGATAAATTATGATAAGTATTTTAAAATCTCTATAGTAGAGGGATAATTATTAACTCTTTCCATGTATGGAAGCTAAACTTTATTCCTTACAGTGGTGGTTTGGAATGAACAAAACTTTTCATTTGACATAAAACTTTTTTACACTGTCACGTGCAGACACGTCTGCTGATATATTTTAATGGTGAAAAGGTATCAAGACTTTTCACTTAAATGTACATAGAGATCAATTTTGCATCATCAAACTCCTGTCCTCCTGATATAGTGGAGAAAATTGCTCCTTGCTCTCTGAGATAAATTTGTGCTGCCTTCCTTGATGGCGTAGAAAGCGTGCTTTCATCAAATATTGCTACATAAAGCACTCCAGTTTATCTCTGCATTTCAATTCACATTAGTTATTCTCAAAATGTATTTGAGATCTAAAGCAAAATAAATAATACATCAAGTGAGATTCTGGGATCACTGATCCTGTGATATTAGTCCCAGCCAACTCTTTTCATGATGCATACAGTGATATATCCAGCATCTGGGCTTTTCCATAACAGCAAGCAGGTTAGAGATAATTCATAGATGTCAACTCCTTTTTCCTAACTTTTGACAAGGGGATTGATGATGATAATCTGTTTATAAGATAATTTGCTGGAGAATACAAAAGTAGGAAAGTCATTTGAACTACAAAATGTTAGTCCAGTTGATGACGATAAACCCAATAGAAAGGTGCTATAGAAGAAATACAGGAACAAAGAATGCAGTGTCACAGCAATACAGTGGACCAAAGAATATTACTGAAAAACATTTATGGCACAAGAGTTTTGGATTAAAAAGTTATCTAAAACCTGGCCACAGCAGAAGTTTTTCTACAGAGTGGCTCTTACTGTATCTATGAACATCTGGGAAGTACAACAACGAAAAATTCTGATCCCTGATACAACAGGTATACAATGAATTATTGCAGTTGTAACAGTATCTGGGTGCAAGGTAAAATGACAACTAATACTGAACTATCCGAACACTTTAGATTTACTAATGAGCATCCCCATGGGAAACACTGCAGTTCTAAAAGGAGTTTATTTGCACAGCCCACCATGGAACATGAACAATCAGCTTGTTGTAAGTGCACAGAAATTCTCCCTTTCTACAATTACAGTTTATCATGCCTATTCTGAAGACAACATAAGGAAACTGAGATCACTGCTCCAAAGAATTCTAGCATGCATTATGATGGTTTCCTTCAGTCAATACAAATGTGTTGTATGAGTTTTTTTTCAATATGTAATAATCTTCATCATAGCCAATGTTCATGGTTTTAACAGGAAAAATTTTTATCAAAATGTTTTCCATATTTTTTTTTGTTTTGCATTCAACTGGAACACTGTGTTCAAAGATTTATTTTATATATTTTATTAAAAAAGAGTTCTGGTCATAAGAAGCATCAATAGGAGGCATTTCATTGTGCTCATTCACAAAGTCAAAGGGCCACAGACTTCCTCTGTATAACAGGTCAAACTCTGTCTAGAAATGCCATTTGGTGGTTTTATTTCCATCCTCAAGTTTGGAAGCGTTGTTTTGTGTCACTACCAACCTTCTTGCTTTGCCATTTTCATCTGCAAAAGGTTTATTGTTTCTTCCTTCTTCCACATTGAGATTCTTTCCACATCCAGGGCTCAAATTCTCAGACCTGATTCCCATTGTCTTACAAAGCAGACACTCGGACAATATTTCCTCCTGAGTACTCAGGGGACTCTGGCCTCTCGTCTCCTTCGGGGGTGGTGACTGGTGGTGTTGGGATGCTTATTATTGCTGTAGTCACATAAGGTTGTTCACAGTTTAGTTTAACACACTCTTCCATTTTGGCATTTAAACTGGATCGGCTGATGAGGAAAAAATAGATTGAAGAAATTAAGTTATTTACTTAGAAATTTTTTTCCCTACAACTGAGGAATATGTTTTCATGTTTATAAGTAACAATTTAAATGTCTAAGAATGATCACCATGATTTAAAAAAAAAATGAAGCACCAAACCTTAATATATGTTAAAGCAGATGCTATTCAGGTCATTAACATTAAATAAATGTCTAAAAGTCAGTTTAATTTGGTCCGATCGTTTTTCTCAATGTGTTTTCTATAAAAATGCAAGGAAGGGGATCAGGCAAGTTTTGGAAAACCTGGGTTGAATAAAGTAAAATAGGTTTCTTTAAGGCAGGACCTCTGAGAGGTTTGTTACTGTTATAAAATGGATAGACCGTGTAGATATACCTCAGTTCTTTTGACCACAGAATCATTTTACTATCTTGTCCCCGGGATACACAATGCAATTAAAGCTCTCAACTTAGTGAAGGCCAAATGCTAAGAACCCAAAAAAGTTAGCGTTTACTAATACTTCAAGGTTTTCCCAAGTGGTCTTCTTGCTCGAGTTTTATTTTCTTTGTAGGGAGGGGGTAAAAGGGAAAAGGTCAACGAGGGTATCAATAGGAGCTTAAAACTAATAACTAACTTTATTTTCATGAAAATCGTAATTAAAATGTTTATGTCCTAGGATTTTCTGTCTAAATACTTCTCCATTTTCTACTTCGGTTTGGAATGGATGTAAAACAACAAAGAGGTACAATATCTTAGAGACAGAAATCTTCCATTGCTCCAAAATTTAATATTCTGGTCCCAGAGATATCCGATTTATGTAAATCAACATAGCCTGCATTCAGAATTGCATCCAGGTTTTCCGCAAAGATTGATGAATGTGAACAAAGAAGCAGCTCTGAATTAATGGATTGTTAATGTAAAAATATTTCTATTTAATTTGAGGAACAAAGCAAAATTATTTTGGCAGAAATAATCTTTTTAATGACTTGTATAGTTTAAAGTACTACTTTTTCTTACAAATATGTGTTTGTGGTCAAAACAAATAGCAAATAAAGGGAAGCAAAGGAAAAATATCAACAGAAGAATTTCACCGAAATTGTCCATAAACCAAGCAAAGGTGGATGATTTTAGCATTTCACTTATTTTTTTTGCACTGGATTGATTTTTGTGTTTGTTGTGGCCAAAATACCTTTATGATCAAAACTGTGCATTATTTCAAGAGATTTGAGTAGGCATAGTTTTATTTTTCACTGTTACACTGAATATGTTGATATATTTTTAGGTGCTGTTGAGTACTGTTCAATCATATCAATGTCAATCTAATTTGTCTCATTTAGTAGTGTTGACTATCATTTCAGGCTACTTGCGTTTACATAAGGGGCACTTGAGTAGAGATGTGTCTGCTCAAATAAGAAAAAGTTGTGGTGTTGAAGAGAGAGAAATCTATTTGTGTGTGCCTGACCATCTTATCATCTTTCTACTCTTTTAATACTGATACAACTCCTGCTTTTGACTATTAATGAATGTGACAGTAGATCCATTTTCCTACTTGCTACAGATCAGTTTTGTCTCATTCTAAACCCTAGGAGCTAGGATTTACACACCACAGAGGTAGAGACATGAGTGCAGGTGGAGGTATGCTCTGGGAGCCAGCAGAGGCGTGTGCACACACACGGATTAACCTCAGGTACCTGTTAGATAGTGGGGTTCTCTCCACACATCTGATCTGAATTGTACTGAGTTCTTGCACACTGCCTCGGTGGCTTCCTGATACATTGGCATTTGGGATGCGGAAGGTTTTTTTGTGTCGTCGTGAACAGCAAGTGCTGGTGACTCCTTGTTGTGAAGAGAGAGAGGGGCTGTGACTTGCAGGACGATTAACAGTTGCAACTTCCATGCAGCTTTCTTCAAAGACTTGTTCATCCACAAACTCGTGATTCTGTTCCACAGTTGTAAGAAAATGTGAAGAAAGCACAGAAACACTTATTAACTTTTAAAAAGGAAATGAAAAGCTTTATTGTTAGAACTCAAATGTGCCCACACACATTTAGACTATCTAATGGGTAACTACTACCATTTTCATAGTGATTGGAATATCAAAGCCACCTCTTGTTGGCATCTCTGTGAAAATAAAATCTGTTTAGGTAGATCTCTACACTGATGTACACAGGCTGATTTAACATCCATTTATAGACTAACTTTATCTTGAAATATCATTTATTAATTTACACATAAAATCTAGGAGTTATATGCTAATGAAAAAAAAACCCCTTAAAAATGAATATAGATAATACCCACAGGGAATGTGTAAATCCACATTTACTTTATTTTTTTAAACAGATTTAAGTTATAGAAAAGGGACTATTTTAATAGAATGCCTTAAGTTAGATTGTCTGTTATATATTAGCAAATATTTTCACATGGGATTCAAAACATTTTTTAATTAGAAAATGAGATATCTAAGACACTTCCCATTTCTTTAGGTGCTCCTATAAAATTCCCAGGAGATAGAAAAATATGGTGTATTTTAAATAAGTAAAATACATTTGTCTACAAAACGTATCTCCTTATGTTTGACCCAGAAGGGATCAGCACTGAACTTCTGAGGTTTCCTTCCTCATCTTTGTGATAGATCACGGACTGTACTCATGATCCCAGGCTGTATTCAGAGTTCTTTTAGCCCAGAAGCAAACAGTGATGGACATCATTTCACATGCCACACCTTAGAGAAACAGAATGTAAATTTTGCTTTTAATATAGTTAATAAAGAATTGCCTCCTAAAATGCCTATGCAAGACTTTTACCTCAGAAACATAAGGGAAAACATTTTTGATCTGAACAATTAGAGAATGACTTGAATTACGATTTGTGTGTGGGTGTCAGGGTGGGGGTGGCGATAGTCTTATAATGGAAGGCTTTGCACATGCCCAACTCCACTTAACCATGTCTCATCCTAAAATATTAGTAAAACAGTTGAAGCAATTCACTGGTTAATAGGAAATAGATTGTTTCAGCTATTCATTTTGTCATTTCTTTGCTGAGACAAGCATTTTGAAATAAATGAAACTTAACATTCCACTGTTTAAAAGTCCAGAGAATAATATGATGAGATAAGACAGAATTTCATGTAAAATATTAAATTTTATAGAAAAAATATAGCTCACAAAGGATTCACAATCCGTTTTCTTCTTTTATAATGCACATTTCACATACATAATACAAGTTATAATGCATGAAATTCTAGTTTATCTCATCAGTGATTGGAAGTGAAGAAGTCGTTCTGTTGCTGGTTACCATATATTTTTGTAGGTAGCTCAATTTAAACTATATTAATCGGTGTTAAATAATTTTTGATTTAAAAAAAGGCCTAAATGGGAAACAGTAAAAAGGTGAAAAGGAAAGAGAAAGACAAGGATAAATGAATTCGAATATTAATGTTATCATTTAACTTTCTGAGTTATCCTAAGTTACGACTTTATCTTATGTTATAGATCTTTATTTAAAAATGCAAATATAATCACATAACTACCATGTTTAAATCCCCCAAATAATCTTCCATTTATTATAAGGTAGAGATCAAAATTTTTGACGTGTCTCCAAAACCTCGTATTATCTGGCCACTGCTTTCCTCTCCGCCTCCTCGTGTGCTATGCTACACTCTCTCATTCTGACCACCCTCAAATTCTTTCACTGCCTCTGAGGCCAACTTCCAGGCTTCCTCAGGAGCTTACATCACCTTTTAGTTCCTTCATTTCTTTGCCTACCTAGCTCCTGGTCATCCTGTGGGTCTCAGTTCAAGTTCCTCCAGGAAGCCTTGCCTGATCCTGTACCCTCCTGGCTCCACCATCCTTGCCCTGCTCCACTGTGGCCCCATTACTGTTTCTTCCTCTGCCCATTAACCTTCTCCAGTAACGTCCGTGTGTTTTGTCCCATATATGGAGGCTCCACTGGGGTAGAGGCCACACCTGATTTCATGGTGTATCTTTGGTTTGGCTCACTGTCTGGCACATAGTAGGCAAGCAGTACATATTTGTTGAATGACTATACAGGTAAATGAATAAATAAGTGGGCAATATGTTGTGTTTAATCAGCATTTTAAGAATCATGGGGAAAATGATATTTTATAGGACTTGCAGTCGGCTGTAACAAAACAACTTTCCATCTGCATTAAAATGATTTTTTAAAACAACCCATCAACTGGGAGAAAATATTTGCAAATCATATCCGATAAGGGGTTAATCTCCATAATAGATAAAGAATTCACACAAATGAACTACAAAAAACCAAACAACCCAATCAAAAAGTGGGCGGAAGATATGAACAGGCATTTTTCCAAAGAAGATATACAGAAGGCCAATGGACACATGAAAAGATGCTCAACATCACTAATCAGGGAAATGCAAATCAAAACTACACTTAGATATCACCTTATGCCCCTTAGAATGACTGTAATCACCAAGACAAAGAACAACAAATGTTGGAGAGGTTGTGGAGAAAAGGGAACCCTCATCCACTGCTGGTGGGAACGCAAACTGGTGCAGCCACTCTGGAAAACAGTATGGAGATTTCTCAAAAAATTAAAAATAGAAATACCATATGACCCAGCTATCTCACTACTGGGTATTTACCCAAAGAACTTGAAATCAACAATTCAAAGAGACGTATGCACCCCTATGTTCACTGCAGCGTTATTCACATTAGCCTAGACGTGGAAGCAACCCAAGTGCCCATCAACTGATGATTGGATAAAGAAGATGTGGTATGTATATACAATGGAATACTACTCAGCCATAAAAAATGGTGAAATTGTCCCATTCGCAACCACATGGATGGACCTTGAGGGCATCACGTTAAGTGAAATAAGCCAGACAGAGACAGACAAACACCACATGATTTCACTCATGTGGAATATAAACAAAGATACTGACAAAGAGAACAAATTAGTGGTTACTGGGGGAAGCAGGGTGCAGGGTGGGCACAAGGTGTGAAGGGGCATATGTATACGGTATATGAAAAATAATAATGTACAACTGAAATCTCACTATGTTATAAGCTATTATAACCATGATAAAAAAAAAGATTTTTTAGACTAGAGTTATGGGATAACCACTAAAGACAAAAACATTTTAAGTAAGTCTCTAAAATACTTTCCAAGTTGAAATGTCACTACAATTTTTCAAAGTAATTTCAAATATTGTGGGTTTTTGTTTTTAGTATATTTTCCAGTAACACAGACAGTGAAATCATGCTTGGAAGCATTAAGTATTCACAAAAGCAGAAGGCATTATGGTCTGAGTACAGGGGCGGCCAGTCCTGCCATTGCCTTACCGTGGTTTTTTCCAGGCAGTGAAGCAGGTGGTGGTGCTGGGTTTCAAAGCTGGAGCCCGACTTGCTAAAAAAGGCCTGCTCATCCTCGGAGGACTGTTAGCACAGAGAAGACAGAAGGGCTTTCTATTTTATTTGCAAACAATGAGAACCTCGGCTACACATTTCCACGGAGGGATCTGGCCTATTTCTTGAGATCAAAGGGCAGCATTTTATTTTTTTAACTTAACAGGGACAAACGTGCAGTTCCTTTTAAGTTTGATAATTAGCATTCACATTTTCGTGAAATTGGTGGTCTGGTCTTTTGGACTTGCCTGCCTGAATTGAAAATTTAAATCTCTTTTAATCATTCAACTATCAACTACCTTTGAAAGCCTGGAAGCCATTACTTTTGGATAGTAAAATTTAATCTAGTACTTAAAGAATCCTGAAACCGCTATCCTGCTCACCTACATGAAAGCTATTTTGTACGTAAAGATGACTGGAATCCTAAATATTCAAGGAAAGTTTTGACATAAAAGTAAAGTTTCTCAAATTATATTTCATACCATGTGATCTTTATAACACTGAATGGTGTTTCTTCTCCATTAAGAAATAAAACAAGACATCATATAACCCACTACCCGCACCCAAATGAACTTTAAGGAAGATTTAAGTAATTTTGAAGTAAAAAATAATTAGGTATTTGAATTACTGAGAATTTTTGACCTTTCCCATGTAAAAAGGGTTCTGGACCCAATTCCAAAGTGGGGAGAGGTTTCCCCCATGCCATCAAGAAATGCTCTGGACACCAGCTGGATGTCTTATCATATAACTCAATTCTGACACTATCTACCTGGAGATAGTATAATATTCCATAGGTTAAGGGCTCAGTCCTATGAGAGTCCCTCCCACCCACCAGCTTCAGATACCAGTCACAAGCCCAGGTTGTTACCCGTACTTCTGACAGATTGGGTATAAATCAGAGGTTCCCACAACCCTCTCCTTGAGTTTGACTGATTTGCTGGAGCAGCTCACAGAACTCAGAAACATATTACTTACTAGATTACTGGTTTATTATGACAGGCTATAACTCAGGAACACCCTGATGGAAGAGATACATGGGGCAAGGTATGGGGAAGTGCATGCAGCTTCCATACCTTCTCCAAGTGGACCACTCTCCCCAAACCCCCACCCATTCACTAACCTGAAGGCTCTCCACCACCCTTTCCTTTTTGGGTTTTTATGGAGGCTTCATTTTGTAGACATGATTGATCAAATCATTGGCCAATGGTGATAGAACTCAATCTCCAGACCCCTTCCCCTTCCAGGAGGTTGGGAGGTGGGACTGAAAGTTCCAACCCCTTAATCACATGGTTGATTCTTCTAGCAACCAGCTCCCATCCTTTGGGTTGGCCCAAAAGTCACCTCACTAACATAACAAAAGACTCCTCTATAGCTCTCATCTCTTAGGAAATTCCAAGAGTTTAGGAGCTCTTCCAGGAATGAGAACTAAATATATATTTCTTATTAAAAATCACAGTATCACACCATGTTTACATGAGACCCTGCAGAAATAGTGGCCAATCATGAATGACAGTCATGATTCACTGGCAATATTTCACAGCTTAGTTTCTAAACTGCTATAGCCAACAAGACTGTTTAGGGTGAGGTTATTAAAAAAATGACACTTTTGTGGTTTCAGTAGCCATCTTCATAATTACCCACAATAAAACTGTATGGTTAAATAGAACTAAATCAATATTACACCAATAAATTAAACATTAAAAACAGCGAAGTGCTCGACCATACCTGAAGCTGATTACTGAGTAAGCCATTCCGTTTGCTCTGCATGTAAGCATTTGCACTTCCGCTTTTGGCTGCCCTGATCCTGGCAAGTCTGGCTTTCTACAGGAGAAGAAAAACGAATGTTCTGTTAATACTTATGAATTGTTTTCTTAAAAGAGTGAGCACACTCCTGTATAATCCTAATATCAGCATACATATTTTTTAAAGTACATCAGCTTTTCACATGAAACTACTGAAAATTAAATTTTCACCATTTGAGGGCTTTTAGTTACCATTTATCAGTAAGGTTGATTAACTGCTTTGCAGCTGGATTAAGCATTTAAGAACTGTAATTAAGTCTTTACAGTAAGATCAAGTTATTTCACTATCATTTCTATCAATTGTGTTAAGAGAAAAATAGTGATATAACTTTACTTACATTTTCACTTACCCCAATCTGAGTAATTTAATAAAATGAAGACCCAGCAAACAGTTACCAACTCCTTTTCGTTTAAACTAATGTCCTTTATAAAATTAGTAATTAAGTTCCAGGAGCCAATTGCCCTCCTTCCTTCCTTCCTTCACTTCCCTCTCTTCCTCCCTTCTTTCTTTTTTTAAAAAGATAGTATTCAGTTGTATCTGCACCCCCATATCAAATTTTATTTTTGTAATTACTTTGCTATATTGACCAATGTCGATCCCAGGCTGAACAATATGGGCTCTCTTAAAAAATCCCTAAGTTTATCCATTTTGTACTGGCACAGGTCCACACAACAGTACGCTCAACTGATTTCTATTTCACTCTTGAATTTGTTGAAATGAAGAACACAGTGAGCCACTTCAGAGATATTTGTAACGTTATTTTTAATTTTTAAAGAATTTATGTATAGAGAATGTTCCTCAATTCAGAGGGTTTAGTGTGGTCACTTAAATTGTTCACAGTTACAGTGAGGTCACCCAAATGCTATTACTGAGTAAACTGACAGTTCAGCCATATTTCTGATATTCCATTCTACTTTAGAAGTGCTGGTGTCTCTCTGCCCTAAATTGTCATGAAGGGAGTCTGGTTTTCACCTCCTGGAGAGCACTATTTTGGTGACAACTCTATTTGTACCATGCATATCTAAGCAAGCGTATGTAAGGAAGCAACTGGGATGGCTTGGATAAGAACTTGCTCGTAAAATTACCCTACAAAGACTCCTTTCCCTTTCTAAACAACCCAGATAAATACTATCTTTAGTCTCTAGTCCTGGAATGTTCTTCATAATAAAAATTTTTCAATTATCTTGACTTTCAAAATGGAAAATGAATATATATCAGACAAAATTTCAATACTACAAATGCACGTGAAAAACAAGGAAGTCTCTCTGGACGCTGGAGCTGCCCTACCCTTATGCTTCATTGGGAACCACTGTTAATATTTCCAGAGAATCTTGCCAGAAACTTTTGAGGCATATAAAAGCAAGTATATATATATATATATATATATATATTCATATATATATACACATATATTTTTACTCAGTTGGGAGAATAGCCCTCACTCTTCTGCACTCAGCTGTTTTCATTTAATACAGTTTGGAACTCCCTCCATATCTACATATTTAGATCCACCTCATTTGTTTATGGGTATATAATGTACCACTCTATAAATGAAGCATTATTTATTTAGCCAGAGCACAATTATTATTATTATTATTATTATCATTACTATTATTTTGGTGAGGAAAATTGGCCTGGAGCTAACATCTGTGCCAACCTTCTTCTATTTTGAATGGCTTGATGAGTGGTGTAAGTTGGTGCCTTGGATCCGAACCCACCAACCTCATGCTGCACAAGCAAACTGTGCAAACTTAACTACTACACCACTGAGCCAGCCCCAACAATTAATTTTTTAAAGCAACTACAATTAATTTCTTTAAAGCATCTTTTGCTACTACATACAAAGCTGCCTGCTTTTGGTATTGCATCAACATCACAATGAGCTTATCTTCAAGATAAATTTCTAGCAGCAGAATTATTCCTGGATCAAAGGGGGTGTGTGTGTGTATGTGTATGTGTGTGCTTTGCGGGACAGGTTTCACCAAACTTCCTTCCAAAGTAGTTGTGCCAAGATGCCCTTTCACCCACAGCATTTGAGAGGAGCACAGAGACATCGGAAGCTCTCAAAATAGCATTCAGATATCATCTGGTTTCAACTCCACCCCTCCTCTCTTCCTCCGAGAATTTCCTCTTCCTGTGTGCTGATTCCAGGTTAAAATAATACTTTGTACAGAGATCATATTTATAAGTGATGGGAAAAATAGACAAATTTCACTCTTTGTTGGCAGGATAATGTGTAGATCACTCAAAATACTGAGATGATACAAGAGAGTGAAGTTGGAAGGTAGAAAATTTTCAACTTCAAAAGCTCTCTGTACAGCCAAGATTTCAGGCCAGACTCAATAAAACAATGGCAAGTGACAAGCACATTTGGAAATGACTTAGAATTGACGTAATAATCCAGAAATAAGTAATTTAAATATACAGTTGGTTTCCAGAAAGAGGTTACTGTGAAAGTTCAGTCCTAAAGTCTCATTGGTCTCCTGGAACATTCAATGCCTTTTTTGGTTCCCTTCCTCTCCCAACTTTCCCCTCCAGTCTCCTCTACCTTTTCCCTCTCTCCCTCTCTCTCTTTTTCTTTCTTTCTTTGCAACTCCTGCATGTAATTATATTGCCTATATCATAGTTACTTGTTTCACCTATGTCATTCTCCAAGCATTTAACAGCAATATCAGGAAACATTACTTTCTTTCATAAACGAGACATTTATATTAACCCAAAATACTGTCCAGCAAAGGAAAATGACATCTATGTACTTCCCATAATGGAAAGCCTACATATGGTGGCAGCCACCACCATAGAAGTAGTTCTAAGCTTAGAGAAAAAGCAGTTGTTTTAAAGACAGAATAGCCATTTTGCTGAGTCATGTACTGTGTTAGAAAAAGAACCTCCCATCTCAATTTCAATCTCCACTTTTCTTTCATTTTATTCCAATACAATACAAGTTAATTGGTTTAATTGGTCTTGTGGAACACCGCACCAAATGTCTGTTTAATGCTAGCCTTTATGACCTGTGATTACATCTTTGGTTCCAGTAGATAACTGAGGGAAATTCTTTTACAAAGATATTTTAGAAAATCAGTTTACTTCTGACCCACTCAGAACAACAATCTTAGCAACTCTGGCTGTGTAACTGGGAGGTTAAAAGAAAACTATCCACTATTAAGAAAACGTATTCCTTCTAGCCCCCCACCCACAGCCCTGTAGGAAATACAACTTCTTGGCATGGCCAAATACTAGTAAATATTATGGAAATTAGAGTAAGGTCTCAGTAAATACTTTATCTTAGTCATATAGAAAATGGGAGGTTTCTAAAATTTTAATTAAAAAATATTGCCAGTGTACAAAATAGCTTTGCAGTTATTTTCAAATTCTTCATCTGCCTTGAGAAATGCTGATGGTGTTGGGGAAAAATTGTTTGTCTCATAAGCCATTTTTCCTGTGCATCCCAATTCTCCATAAATTCATTTTTTTCCTTAACTCTCTAAACTTAGCAGGGTTTCTCAAAGTTGGTTCCAAGGAACTAATAAGTGTTAGGAGTAAAATCCAAGGCAATCAAATGAAACAAACAACTGGTTCTGTGGTCAAGAAAAGTTTGGGAAATGGTGAGTGGTTAAACAAGTTTCTTTGGCGTTGGATTCCTTACAACACATTATAGTGTAGATGTTCGTTGTGAAGATGAAAGAGGAATATAGTATGCAATTTTTCTCAAAGTAATTTGACATGGAACCCTTTTATTGTGGAACATTCAGAGACTAGTGTACAGTGCTTTTTAGCAAGTAGATTGTTTTTTAATTGCAACAAATGACATTATATAAACTTTACAATGTATTCTCTGCAACAGAGGCTGAGGAGCCAATCAAAGAAAGATGTATAAGCCCCAAACCATTGAGATAATGATTTTCTTAAGTGAGATCCATCTCTAAATGAGGTATGAGGTAGATTGAGAGCAATTATTGGACCATCTAGCTACCAAATCACAAAATATTTGCAATACTTTTGAAAAATGAAGGTATGATAGGCACACTTAAAAGTGAGGTAGAGAAGACCTTTCTCCTTTGTAATATGAGGCAATTCCTTACTCCTCAAATATCAGCCCACATACCCCCTGTTCCACCTATTCTGGAAATTTTACTTACACTTGTTTCTTTCATTTAAGGTTTAGTAAAATGCCTTATGTGGAGGTAGCATATTAAGCTTTTAAAAATTTAAGGAACTTATTGGAATCTTTCCATTTGCAAAGGAAAATAGTTTCCCTAGAAATGAGACAAGTTCATGCCCAATAAAAATAAAAAGAGAGATGAAGGAAGGCAGTGGGCGATAGTGCAAGACTTGCAGCTCTATAGCTTGGTTACTCCTGGACGTGGCAGTGCTGGGTGGAAACAGTGCTGGGATTTGGGTCAGTGGAAGGGACTCTGGAAGGGTCAGTGGAATGAGAAAGCAACCAGAGGACTCTAAGTGGGAAAAGGTGAAAACTAAAAGAGCATGTAGGAGGGTGCCAGAGACAAAATCATCCTTCCCCATATTGTTTTCAACTGGTCCTAGGAATGTCCACCCTACTCAAGGATGGAAGCCACTGTGAAGGCGAACAAGATCTCATTGTTCATGCATTCATTCTTTCACTCATTACACAAATATTAACTGCCTATTTCATGCTGGGCACTGTCCTCAGTACGATGGAGGAGAGAGACAAGACAGTGTAACACACGATAATAGAGTATGCACATTATTATGGGCAAAGAGAAGAATGAGCAACTGATGGTGTTCATACCATTCAGAAAAATATTCACAGAATGGGTGATATTTAAGTCTTGATCCCTCAGTTGGAGATTGCCAGTTGGCTTCATTCAGTAGTGAGGGGATGGAATGGAGACTTGAGAGCAGAGGTAAGTAATTCAATAAGACTGAAACACAGAGTGCTTATGGAGAAGTACGAAACGTGAAGATTCCTATGCGTTAATAGTAGGGGGTTATTAAACCACAGACAAATTGAAAACTAGGTTATCCACAGAGATCTGTGGATTTTTTTTAACAGTGGATAATATTTTTTAATAGTGGGTAATATTTTTTAATAGTGGATAATCTAAGAGATCATTCTCAGGCTCTAGCAAGGAGTTATTTCTTGCATTTAATTACTCTAGAACTCTGCAAGAAATTCTTTGATTTGGACATTGCTGAATGTGTTAGGACATGGTTCTCAAAATATGGTCCCCAAACCAGCAGCAGTATCACACCCCCTCAAACTCCTTAGAAATGCAAATTTTCAGGCTCCAACCCAAAACTACTGAATCAATGCTTTGGGGATGAAATCCAGAAATCTGTATTTTAACAAGCTCTTCAGATGATTCCAATAAATCTAAAGTTTGAGAACTACCATAGCAGTGTGATAAATGGCAGACAATATTGGTAACATCTTCCTATGTCGACATCAACATCAAGTGAAAAGTAAAAAATTTATTTACATTGTATATTGGCTATATGTTGGTTCATTGATTCTAAACTTCTCACTGTATTTAGAATCATCTAACGAAAAATCCCTAAAGATTCATAATTCTAATAATGCCAGAATTTTCCTGTTTTAGACTTAACAGGTGTATGAGCATGAGCAAGTCATCTGTAAAATGGAAATAATAATACTTATTTGCAAGTTGATTGTGAAAATATGAATAATAGGTATAAAGCACTTGGGACATACTAGAAACTCTAGAGAGGGTTGTTGTTGCTATTAACATTATTAAACTATAATTATAATCACTATTACTGTTATACATGATAATTACAGTTTAGCCTTCTAAGTATACAGATGACTAAGTGGTGTGATTTGTATTTTAAAACAAAGTAGGCTCCCTGCTTCAAAGTATCTACCCTACTACCTGTCTTTGTACCAATTTAGCTTTATTTTGGCAAATGCATTCTGATCAATAAATACTTATCGGATTACTGAGTGAATAAATAAATCTATTAAAGTAAATTACCAACGAGGGGTCGGGGAGAGATGTCACAGTTTAAGTCTACATTCACCCACATGTCAGTGTTTAGTTAAGAATTTATCACGGATTTATAGAAACGGGGCAGTTTTTGCATTCCCTTTAAAGGGTGGGGCAGGTAGTGAAAGCAGGAAGAGTGCTTACTAGGAAGAAGAGCCTAGAAGAAGGAAAGTACCCCAGAGAGTGATAATGGGGATGTTCTCAAATGCATATTGTGTTTATTTCGTGCTTTCGCTTGAGCTTCGACTTGGCAAATGGGACTAAACACCAAAAACTCTGGTTTAAAAAACATTTTAAAATATTACTCAGCTTGACTGATGTTTTTACTGAATGGATTGCTTGCTTGACTTAATTAGCTGGTTATTTTTGCATAACTTTGATATTTGTCAAATTGCCCAGTTCTAGATTAATGTGAACTACGTTAACCTCATAAATGTTTATCTGTTTTTTTTTTTTAAATCTCCCTGGAAGGAAAATAGGAAATATCCTTTGATAACTTTTTTGGTTCCATATCCACTGTTCACAGACTAGAACCTGGACATATCACAGTAGGTGATAATATTCAACTTCATTAAGCCAATATTTCTAGTAGTCATGATGTACAAAACTCATGGCATTATGGCAGAAACTTAGAGGAATATTTTAAAGATGACATACAGCATTCATAAAGCATGCTTTTCAATTTAATGTACTTTTAAAAATCACATTTATTTTTGCATTCTAAATTTATTTAGGCAAAAAGTCTTCTAGAACATTCTTAGATTTTCTTTATTGATTTGCCTGTTACAGATGACAAGATTTTTTTCTAAAAAATGGATATTTTGACTATTGTGTGTGTGTGTGTGAGGAAGATTGGTTGTGAGCTAACATCTGTTGCCAACCTTCCTCTATTTTATGTGGGATGCTGCCACAGCATGGCTCAAGGAGTGGTGCCAGGTCCATGGCCAGGATCTGAACCTGCAAACTCCAGGCCATGGCAGTGGAGTGTACAAACTTAACCACTATGCCACTGGGCCAGCCCCAAAAATACAGATATTCTGGAGACTGGCTTTTTTTTGGAGGAAGATTAGCCTTGAGCTAACATCCACTGCCAGTCCTCTCTTTTTGCTGAGGAAGATTGGGCTTGAGCTAATGTCTATGCCCATCTTCCTCTATTTTATATGTGGGACTCACACCACAGCATGGCTTGATAAACCGTGCGTAGATCCAAGCCTGGGATCTGAACTGGTGAGCCCCAGGCTGCCAAAGTGGAGTGTGTGAACTTAAAGGCTACACCACTGGGCCAGCCCCTGGAGACTGTTTTTTTAAAAATGAGATTTCTACTTCCTACAGTTCTCATAAAGGCAATTTTTTGTTTTTGGGTTTTGTTTTGTTGTTGTTGCTGAAAAGACGAATTATAGGTAGCCCTTCCATTAAAGAAGGAATTTCTAGGATGGAGATGGATGAGTGCTTAGGAGCTACGCTTTTTGTAGAATTTCTATTATTTTAAATGATGTACCTGTGTGCCCAGTAGAGGGATGGTAGCGTGTGGGCAGAGCCACAGTTGTGGTACGTGAAAGTCCCTGCTGGATGGATCAGTTGTGGCTGAAATTCCTCCATCTCTGCTTGCCAAAGGTGTGCCCTGCGTGATTCTACAACTGCCAGGGGGTGCCTTTTTCTAACCCTCCCTGTTTATTGGATTATCAGTTCTATCTATTCATGATAACGGGACTACTTGTTATCATTCTCTACCATAATTAGTTAAAGGCTAGGTACTTATCCAAAAATGAGGGATTCCATCAAGCAAGAAACTCCAAGCCTGAAAGAGTGATTCTTTGCTAAGGGAAGACCTCTGATGACGAACATGAACAAGTTCTCTGGACAATATGCTGTGTGACCATACTGATTAACCTGAACTTTCCAAAGAGTTATTTTACGAGATTTTATACTTTAATAATGAGACTGACATTGTTCAAAAGCATATTTAAAATCCTGTTCTGGAATTACTTACAAAGACAGTTATGGACTGCCCAAATCTCTCATGGTATTTTGTAGTTATACCACATTACCTTGATTGTGCATCCACTTTAGTCATGATTATAAGTGGTTTTTGGATATTAAAAAAATGAATCTTTCTTTGAAGGACAATGATATAGTGTCCGTGAAGAATACTGAAAATCCCGCACCACGGTCTTGAGAAAACTACAAAAGAGATTGCCAAAATTATTTCTAATCAATAAAGGCCCAGACTCTCAAGGTGACTATTTTGATAAAGAATGAGGAAGGGAAGTGTGCTAACATTTAGTTAGTTTTTCTGAGAGGCAGCCTATCATAATATTGAAGTATATGAACCTGGGAACCAGATTGGCTGATTGAATGTTCTCCAATTTATTAGGTATATGACCTTAGACTTTCCCAATTTCTGGGTATCTTAGCATTCTCATGTACAAAATAGGTATAATAATGGTAACTAACTCCTAGACTTGTAAAGATTATATGAATTATTTTTTGAAAAACGTTAAACCAATACCTGGCATACCATAAGCCATCAGTAAATGTTAAATATTGTGAATATCATGAAATACTTACATAGATTTATATATGTTTGCATATAATCTTTTGTTGTTGTTGTTGAAGAAGATTAGCCCTGAGCTAAAATCAGTGCCAATCTTCCTCTATTTTGCATGTGGAGCGCTGCCACAGTGTGGCTTGATGAGTGGGCGTAAGTCTGGGACCAGAATCCGAACCCGTGAACCCAGGCCGCTTAAGCAGAACGCGCCGGACTTAACCACTATGCCACAGGGCTGGCCTCCATTTGCATATAATCTTAATCTTATTGTGAGGTAGGTATTGTTTTCCCCATTTTACAGATGAATATGCACATTACTTACTCTGAGAGATTAATTAACTGGCATGAAGTTCAGAGAAACAGTAAACTGCTGGGCCAGGAACAAAACTCAGCTACAAATGGGCATATTTCTGTTACTTTCTGGGTCAGCTATGGAAAATATGTGCGACACATTTTGTTGATCTTTAATAGGCTTGGTCTACTGGAACCAGCTTGGATCTTGGTGGACAGAGACTAATTGAATCAGATCTAGAAATCTCATTCTAATAAAATTTGCCAAGGACCTATCTTTCATTTTACTACTGTGATTAGTGCTGTTCACCAGATGTTTCTTTCTTTCTGCCTCTGGTTGCATATTAGGATTATATTTCCCCACGCGCTTTGAGTTACACATGGCTATGTGACTTGCTTAGGCTAATGCAATAGACATGGAAGGGGCTTGGCCCACATCCAGGAGGAGGTTTTAGAGTCACTGTGTGATTCATCATGTATTTTACCCCTGCTTGAACGATGACAGAAGTACATTGTCAAGATGCAGTTTCCATCACTGGACCAGTAAGGGACCTGCAGCATGATTGAGACATATTCCTTGCTGTTTTAAGCCACTGAGAAATTAAGGTTCTTTTTTGCTGTAATAGAACCTAGCTTGTGCTGATGGATGCAACTATCGACCAAATCTGGAACACTGAATAGCCGGTAAGGGATTTTAAAGCTCACTATAAAAAGTGGGAGATGCTAGATCATGGTTGCACAATGCTGAATACACACCTTCTGTGCTCTCCGTTTGTCTGCTCGTTGATTTTGGTGGTAGATCCGACTGAAGTTGGACACAATCACTGGGACAGGTAGAGCAATGACCAAGACACCACTCAGCGAACAGATGGAACCAAAAATCTTCCCTGCTATTGTTTTTGGTACCATGTCACCATACCTGGGTTAGAGAAAAAAATATATTGTTTAAGTCACAGAAAGTCATTTCCACTTGCTACAAATAGCTTTTTTGCTTTAAGTCAAATGATTTTTTGGACGAATCTATCTGTACTTCATGACTACAATATACATGGCTTAAGATTTCAGTAAACCACAAATTATGAATATCTAAATATAAAAAAATTACCTTTCAACCTTGCAGAAATTGATTGTAACGTTTAGAAATCTCTTTGATTGGAAAGTATTTTAAGCCAGATGATGTAATGATAGCTCTTCAATTTGTCCTTTATACAATGTGGCATAGTTCTTTACATTTATTTAATCATCAATATTTCCATGCTGAATTTTATAGTCTAGATAACACATTTTTCCACTTAGTTTTTTTTCAACATTGGATTGGTTATGAAATTGAAGTAGCAAAAGCAGTATATCATATTCCTTTCATCAGATATAATCACTTAAAAAATAGACTTTCCAAGGTCCCATTAACCTTCACTTATGAAATCCAATGACCATTTCTCCGTGATAATCTTAGTCAATCTCTCTCTCTCTTTTTTTGATTAGTTGACTTCTTTCTCCTTGAAACACTTTCTGTTGGCTTCAGTACTAGAAAATTTCCTTAGTGGTCCTCCTACCTCATTGGCTGCTACTTTTCTATCATCTTTTCTGGGTTATTTTCTCCTGATTTTTAAATCTTGGTGTAATCTAGGTCTCAAGTTCGAGTCCTCTTATTTTCTCCATATAAACCCTCTTCCTATGTGATTTCATCCAATCCCATAGCTTCAAACCATCTACATGCTGCTGATACCCTAATTGACATCGACAGTCCTGATGTCTATCTTGAAAGTCAGACTCACATCTTCAGTGGTCTGGTTTGATTATTCCTACCCCTGGATGTTTAAGAGCCATTTAAGACTTAGCCAAAAAAGAACTCTTATTTTGCTAGCTTCCTCTGCACCCCTCAAATCTGTTCCTCCCACAGTCTATCACCTTTAATTAAATGGAACCACAAACCGCCCAGTTGCTCATATCAAAATTGAAAGAGCCACCTGAATCCACAGTCCCTGCGTCTCATTTCTCAGCTGGGCTTGCTGTCCCTGATCAAACCAAATCATAGCCCATTTGGATCTCCTCCCTCAGCCCCCATTTTGCCGCAGTATTGCAAGCTATCATCATCTCTTGCCGGAGCCAAGGATACAGCTTCTTACCTGAACTCTTCCCCACATTTTCCACTTTACATTTCATGCCAACCTAGCAGCCAAAATTATAGTTTTAATAATGGAGATTGGACTGTTGCTATTTTGCTTAAACCTTCTAATAGACTTGAAACTAAAATAAATCCAAACTCCTCCTTTTGTCTCCAAAGGCCTATTTCATTTAGTTCCTGCCTACATTATGCACCACCTTCCACCAAGCTCACTGTCCTCCAGCCACACTGGCCATCTGGCTTTCTGTCATACAGGCAGCCCTCAGATCATCAACATTCAGGCTGAGACTTAAACGTCTTCATTCTAGAAGTCATTTTCTGGCCACCTTATCCATAGTGGTCTTATCCTCTCCTCCAGTCATTCTTTGTAACGTTTTCCCATTTTATTATCCTCACAGTACTTACTAACACGTGATATTTTCTAATTGATTAACGCATTAATTTTGTGACTCCCCACCTGCCCTGCAGACATTAGGACAGAACCTCGATAAAGCAGGGGCTGCTCTATTTCATGTCTCACTAGCACAAAACAGGCTCTTAACAAATATTAGTTGAATGAATACATTTTCTCTATCTTACTGATAGAGAATTCTTCCAAGAGTTCTCTCCTGGGGAGGGGGACAAGAAGGAGGTCTTTTGACTATATTAGTGCATATATGTCAATATGGGGATAGAAGTTGCTGAGGAATTGGCCCAGGAAAGGCTGGTGAGTGTGACAACAGGCTACACTGACTAGCCCTGTATTTGGAGACTCCATTCCAGGCTCTGGTCCTCTGTTCTGAAGGCCTAGTTACTCACTCTTGTCAGTGTTTGTGGATGATCAGAGTTGAGTGAATTCACCATACCTAAAATTCCCACAAGGATTTGGTATCAGAATGACAGTACTAATTTATAGTAAAAACAACAACAAAAAAACAAAACAAAAACACAAAAACCCAAGAATTGGAATGCTTGGTGCATATGAAACAAGGAAACAAGGCCTCTTTCTGTGGCCCAGTGGGGAAGCTAAATCATATTCTGAAGATTATGGTAGTGAGGAAATAGTCAAAACTAAACGAATTTATCAGGTGAGCAAAAAAGGCTTTAGGATTTTCCTATCACAGGGATACATCAGTGGAATTCAAAGATCAACATTTTATACAATGCTGTGTGCACATGAGCTAATTTCTCTGTTTGCCACAGTTCACATTGAGTGCCTGGCCATATTGTATGCACATCTCCTCTGCTTTTGCACTGATTATGCAGGAGGCCCTGGAGAAGTCTAAACCATACATAACCCCCCGTACATGCACGCATACAGGCAGCTTTTCAAAAAAGGGATTTGATTTTAATGTCTACCAGTTAGGATCCAGAAAGTGTTTCTCAAAAGGGAAAGTAAATAAAACTCAGCTATTTGTCAAGGCCAGAGAAGACACAAATGGAGTCCATGCAATTAAGATAAACCTTTTAAAACAGAAATACGCAAAACAAAATAAAATAGCTAAATGAATTCATCATATAGTTTATCCTGCCTCTAAGATATTTTTAATTAGCATTTATTAACTACTTTTTGTATTCTAGGCTCACTATGTCTTAGAGCAGACAAGGATAGCATATTTGTAACTATTAGAGAAAATAAAGGGCTAAACTGTGTGGTATGACCCAAAGCTTAGCAAGACTTTAACAAGATAAAGACTGGTAAATCCAGGTAGCAGGTGGTGGTGGTGGTAGGGATGGAGGGGTAGTCGTACACTCAGAAGGGCGATGCTGAAAAGAAGAAAGGAGAAAATGGATTCTGAGGGACTCAGTTAAAGGGATTCTGGGCCAAATGAAAAGCACGTTTCCCTGGGAAAGCAATATTTGAGAAAGTATCAATCAGGGAAAGTATCCTTGCAAATTCTTTCTGAATGTAAACAGAGATTATAATACAAATCAGTAAAGCAGAAAGTGAACTTGTTACTCAGAGAGAAAAAACGGGTAAAGTGAAATATGTTGTTCATTTTGTGACAAAAGAGTAGAAAGTAAGGATATAAAGCAGCCTGCTGAACGACAGCAAATTCACAGATACATTGAAGTGGTTTAATATCATAAGGCTAGGCTAATCTGCATCAAATGTAATTATGTTTATTATTTACCTCCATCATACTTATTTTGTAATCCAAATTCCCTTCACAATCAACAAAGCATGGATGAACGCTTGAGATGACTGGACAGGACTGCAAAGATTATGGTAGGAAGAGAAAGAGAATGAAGCACTCATGGGCAGGGACACCATCTCTCATCTTTTTACTCTTGGGTAAAAAGACAGAGCTTTCCCACATTAGAGAAAATTAGGATGGTCCCCAAGCCTCTGCCGTTGTGAAGCTAAGGCAGAGGGAGGTGGTGAGAGCACAAGGGAGCAGAATGGGCAGGATGCTAAGTCTGGTCAGACTGCCCTGTAGTTATTCATGTAAGGACAGCCTGAGCCCTTGGCTGATTCCCAAGGAGCACCTGCTGTCTCTTTCCACACACCCCTTGGTTTTGTATCCATCATCCCTTCTGCTCTTCTCTCTGTTCCCCTCTCCTTTTTAAGATTGGCCTGCTGTTGATATTTGTAATACTTTAAGCATATTTCACTAGTTTGAATATGTTGGAGCATCCTAAAAAAGATACACAGCGTGATTTGCATCTGTTCTTACATTGGCCATTTTGTCTTTTTTCTCACTTAGCAATGACCTTGAGAATTGAAATGGGTAATTTTTAGCTGCAAACTTGTAATTGGGCACAGAATCTGCATGGGATGGGAGATAACTCTGCTGCTTTCCTTCGTTTAACAAAGGATCTTTTAACTAGTATTCAAACTCTTAGTAACAAGCAAAACAGCATTGTATCCTCAGGAATCAGATCTCTCTGAAACTCAGTGGAAGAAAGGCTTAGAACAGAAAGCTTTATCATGAGAAGCGACACATTGTGGCTAAATGATCATTTAAAGTTTAAGCATTGCCTACAGTACTTCCAACTTTTAATGACTATTTCTATTCCAGATAACTTGTTTACCAGTTGGTGTTTCATTCTTTATAGTCCATATAAAAAGTACCTTATTTTTCTTGACTCCTTGTTCTTAAATTTATGCGAAGCCCAGCAGTATTATATATTCTGTTCTTTCTATCTTTCTTCAGAATTTAATATTCTGTCCTAGTCTTCAAAAATCCATTTCCCAAAAAGAGCTACACTACAACATTACATAGATGCGGTTTTGTTTTCATAGTCACATTTTTTCCCATATTTAAATAAAATTGGTTAAAAGACTATAAGGGGTTTCTAAGGTCAAATAAGATAAATATTGAATTCTTAAAAGACAGAATAGAACAGGAGAGAGAATTGCATAATATAAAAGAATAACTACCAAGAAGTTTTACATAATAAAAATGAGCAGACTTGAACTTCGCTAATTGAAAGGGAGTTTTTCCCATACTTTTCCTTCTCCTTTCTTCTGCTTCTTCTAACGTTCCCTTCTTCCTCCTACATCCACCATGTAGAACCACTCCAGTTTCTTTCTGCTTCTTTTTTACCCTGGACATCTGCCAAACCTTATGTTCACTCCTCCCTCTCCTCTTCACGTGAGTTAAAAAGGTGCAATATGGAGGTGTCATTCACATAAGAATATTAATTCTAAAGTTACACACACTGCCCCAAAATACCTGGTTAAAATTACATCTCTTGCCATATGTTAAAGGTAATATTGAGTGGAGGGCCAATTCCTTAGAAGTGACTCAACTGTTTGTTCTTAAAGATTTTAATCTCAAATATCATCCAAAAGTTTCATGCAAAGTACT